AAAGACGAAAACTTGGTCAGGTGGGAGAACCACTGCTCTTCTATCTTCGGTAATTGTAACAAATATGTAATATTCTCTTTAGACCTTTCAGCCTATCAAGTTCAGGATTTTAGTTTTGAGCCTTTCGCGGCCATTATTAATGATATTATTGGCTTCCGGATGGATGCCGCGTTTGGTTTCAGCATTGCGCCGACGTTTCGCAAACATTGCAGTCGGCATCTTCAGGGCTATGAGCTCCGATGTTTGGGGGTTGTCCTTATATGTCTTTCCCTGTGATGGTGGCGGAATGGCAAGGGGGGGGGGGTCAGCCAATCGTATAGTTTTAATTGATCAGCTGGTCAATTGAAATACCGGGAGGACGGTTTTCCAAGTGGGGTTCACTTGATATCCTCTGTCCCTGTTGAGGTTGTTAGGGTTTTTGTGGATTTTCAAACCCTCTCAATATTTCCTTTCGAAATAACCTTGAGATTTGGCCAACATTCTGGCTTGGTCGTACTGGATAGTATGTCCAGTGTTCAGCTAGGATAGACTGTTCTGAGTGACCGTATTTGGAATACCGCTGGTGTTCCTTCATCCGTGTACTGATCTTTCTCCCGGTTTCTGCAATGTACACTTTCCCACATGAGCAAGGGATCTCGTACACTCCTGGTAAGATCAGGGGTGGTCTTGGATCCTTTGCACTCGGCAGCATCTGTCCGATCTTCTTTGGGGGTTGGAAGATCGTTCGGATGTTGTTTTCCGAGTACTTATGCGTTCTGTTGTGTCTTTCAGATAGGGGAGGAGGGCCACTTTAGGTCTTTCCTCCTTTCCTCAGGATCAGTCTCCTCTCGGGGAGCAGAGAGCTTGCTCTGTAGCTTATGCTTGACCTTTCGAATTTGATAGATGTTATATCCATTCTTGGTCAGAGCTGTCTCAAGATGTTCAACTTCACTGTCGACGTCGGAGGGTTGGGAGATTGTGAGTGCTCTATACATTAGGGAGCTAATGACAGAGTTCTTTTGGGAGGGGTGGTGATGGGAATTGGCATTCAGATACCTATCTGTGTGAGTTGGTTTGCGATATACTTGGTGGCCTAGAGTGCCATCCTCGTTACGTCGAATCAGCCCATCTAGAAATGGAAGACATCTGTCGTGCTCATTTTTCATGGTGAACTTGATGCTTGCATGCTGAGTATTCAAGAACTCCAGGAACTGAGTTAGAGCAGTCTTTCCGTGTGACCAGATGACAAAGGTGTCATCCACATACCTGAACCACACAGTTGGTTTCTGAGACGCTCACTTTAATACTTCGTTCTCAAGATGTTCCATGAATAAATTTGCAATAATCGGGGAGATAGGAGAACCCATTGCTGCTCGCGATTTTTGCTCATAGTACTCTCCTTTGAATCGAAAGTATGTAGAAGTCAAGCAGTGCTCAATTAAGGGAAGGAATCGGGGGGAAATGTCTTTGGATTTTTTGATGATTTCCAAGGTTTCTGGCATTGGGACGTTAGTGAAGAGTGATTCTACATCAAAACTCACTAGAATATCATCTGGTGAAGTCCTGAGATTTCTGAGTTTGTTGACGAAATCCAGTGAGTTCTGAATGTACGAATCACTTAGACCAGTCAACTTTTGGAGTGGTTTCGTGAGAAACTTAGCCAGCTGGTAAGTTGGCGCTCCAATATTGCTAACAATAGGGCGGAGAGGAACAGACTCTTTGTGGATTTTGGGGAGTCCATAGAGTCTGGGAGGAAAGGATTCTTTAGGAGTAAGGAATTTTGTCAGGTCCGCCGAGAGATCAGCTTTTTTCAGGAGATCAGTAGTTTTATGCTGAATTGTACGAGTAGAATCCTTCCTGAGTTTTATCTAAACTCTGAAATCAAAAAAACATTGCACTGAGCTTTCCCGAGTAGTCGTTCTTATCCATAACCATCGTGGCATTGCCTTTGTCGGCCGGAAGAATAATGAGATCATTATTCTCGTTCAGACGACGCAGTGCAAGACGTTCCTCCCTGGTGATATTGTCACTAGGTGGAGTAGCCTTGTAGAGGATATTGGACAACTGACTCCGGATTTCATCACTGGTCTCCAAAGGAAGATGGTAGATCGCTGTCTCGGTCCAACTGATAATTTCCTCGGTAAGGATCATTTTGGGGGCAACAGCGAAGTTATGTCCTTTCGCCAATACAGACACCTGTGCTGCACTGAGCTCGTATTTGCTCAGATTCTTCACAGTATCAGTGAGGGTTGGGACTTTCTCCTGCGGGATCAGCTTCTTGAACTTACTGTTCTGACTCTCAGTTCTCATCTCAGCTGTTCAGACTGCTTGTTCATAAGTAACACGATCAAGAGTCTCCCACAGCTGAAACTCTAACGTCTGAGCCAGGCGAAGGTGAAGATCGAGAAGCTGTCTGGAAAGTTGAGTCAAGTTCTTCCTAGCCGCTGTTATTCTTTCCTTGAACCGTCTCAATGAAGCTTGGCGGAGGATGGCATTTGCCTGCTTCGAGGGAAAAGGGTTCCTCAGATGGAGGAATTTTGGTACCACTTGGTGGTCACTTCACTCTTTTGATGGTCATGGCACCTTTTCAAAAAGGTTAGGGAGCACAGTTGGACGTGCAAGGACTTCCTAAGTTTGGTGAATGAATTCACCAACCCAAGAATAGCCTCTCCATGGGGGCGTTTAATCTTAGTTTTGAGGCTTTCGCGGCCATTATTAATGATATTATTGGCTTCTGGATGGATGCCGCGTTTGGTTTCAACATTGCGCCGACGTTTCGCAAACATTGCAGTCTGCATCTTCAGGGCTATGAGCTCCGATGTTTGGGGGTTGTCCTTATGTCTTCCCCTGTGATGGTGGGGGAAGGAGATGGCGGGGTCAGCCAATCGTATGGTTTTAATTGATCAGCTGGTCAATTAAAAAACTCAAAGGAGCAGCACATTATAAAGTTGAGTTTACTCATTTTTATTGCATCGTTCCCGTGTAATCGTGAAAAATGTTGGTCCGAGTAATTCGGTTCATCTTTGCGATTATTGCTCTGCTGCTTAATTTATTGGATTTTTCAATTTTCAATTTATTCAATTCATTTATTTATTCATTCTCTTTATTTAATTCATTGAGTTTTCTCAAAATTCATTTTTATTCATCTTTTGAACTGAACGATAGAGATTGAGAAACAATCGAGAGCTCCAGTAGACAATTATTGGTTGGACCAGCTCGAGATTACCATCACTTGCTGTTATTTCTACAACTGTATTGCTCTCTCTTTGCAATTGCAGAGTAGCTCACTCTCTCATAGAGAAAAAATCATAAAATTAACTCTTAATTTTTAATCAGAGTAACGCTTGAACCTCCAGTTGTTCTCTACCCATTCAATTTGATTGAATATTTGTGAGATCTGTTTCAATGGGTAACATGGGAAAACAATACGGATTTGTGAAAGAGGCGACCCTCTTTGATTGAGTCAGTAAACATCATGGCCTCTGGCACTGCCTCCCCCCCCCCACGAACGGAATTCTACTGTCCCATGAAATTATTTCCAATTCCAAATTTGCTCTTCAGTAAAATCTAGAATTGAATGAGTACCTCCGACTCTTATTTCGTCAGAACTTTACATATTTATCAGACGTCAGAAACCTCAGGGTTGGACTCAGCCTATGGAACTACCGCACAGTGCAAAAACGAGGTTATGTCTATGATTCTTGATTACTCTTCACGGTGAGAAATTACCATCCTCATATCGGAATGTTCAAAATGCAGCTATTCCACGCTGAACTGCGTTATCGATCATCTCCTCTCTCACACTGTCGTGTTTAACTGATGAATATTTGCATTTCCTGAGATAGGTTATGAAACATGCATTGAATCATCATCGCATCCTATCTCACATTTCTGGGGAAAAATCCCTACAACAGCAATTCATTTCATGATATGTGCGACGTTGCCAGATGTTTTTTCCACCATCTTAAGTCAACTTCAGACTCCGAATTTCTCAACGTTTTTCCGTCAACTTTCAATCTTGTTAATAAACAAATCCATCAAATGAATATTTTTTTAAAGATTTTTCCCGTAATCTGTGATGTTTTTCCTATCAACTCTCAAGAGGAAAACGGATCATTCCCTAACACCCTGTATATGCAATTCGCATGAAGTGTGTAGCTGTGTCGCACCATATGCGTGTAAAAAATATACTTTTCCAGTGTGTATCATGATTTATTTGATTTGCTCGTACATACCTTTCATCTATGTAGTTTATTATAGTGGCATAGGGGGTAACACATTTGGGTTTATAGGGTTTGCAACAGGGCTTTTTGATGCAAAACTTAACATGTTCAGAATTTCGGCCGAAAGAATCGTTTGTGAGTAAATCTTTATTTGCCATAGGGAAAAAGCTATTACGGAAATTTATCGAAATTATACCACCTTATTTAATCGAATACCACGATTCTATTGATTGAAATTCTGAGGAAGAAATAATCCTTAATATAGTAGTTAAAAATAGATTATTGCTCTTCTTCTTATATAGTATGGCTATTTTTGCCAATCAATTGGCAATATGCTTCCACATTTATTCCAAATTAGCCATGAAGCTATAACTAGTGGTATAAGCGCTACCGGAGAATTCAATTTAGAGCATTTCTAAGGGCGTAGGTGTCAATCATATTTAAAAATATTTTTCAAATGCGAACGAACTTGTGCAGGACTTATTAGTATATTTTGATTCGACTGCGGAAAAGTGTTTTTTGACCCGTGGGAGGTGTGTAGCGCTAGCCCAAGCGTCAAAGAACACTTTGGCCACTAGTGTCGAACTTTATTTTTCATCACAATTTACGAACAGTGGGATTAAAATTCCACTTTCCGCTCAAGTGATGAAAATTCATTTTATCATCTCTTATTATATGCAATTATTTCTGAAATGCATGATTTTAGGAAAATATGTGAAACGAGCATTTTTGTAGCAGAGAAGGTCCCTATGAAATAAGTTGGGTGAATTGATCAAGATTAAGATTTTTACTGTTTAGAGTTACCTTGGGATGAGGCGAATCCACAATGTCCAGAATATGCAGCATGGATAGAAGCAAAATATATGAGTTTGACCCCCTGGAAGAAACTCGACACAATTCCTTTAGGTCTTATTAGAAACGTTCTCATCCACGCACCAGTCTCAAGATTTAAAATCACAGACATTAAAACTCACCGGTGGTATCTGAAGAATCTCTGCAAAGGTAAAATTAATATCTGATCCATATGAATAACACACTACTTAAATTTGAAAGTCCTGCATGGAAAAAAAGCCTTTGAGAGGCCTTTTCTCATATATGTAATGACTTAACTCAATGCGGCACAGAGCTTACGGAAAGTTTCGGTGTGAAGGAAGTCTGAGGGGCAACAACTTTTGTAGGGGTGAAAACTATTATTGTCATTTAAGAAAACTGACTTCAAGTTCCTAGCATCGAAACATAAGCAACGGGGGCCTAGATTCCATCAGAACTAACAAGGAACACTAGGTAGGTGTCCGCCTCCGATTTGGATGAAACTTGAATATGTTATAGAGTACTCAAAACTAAGTGCCACGTATTTTTTTTTTATCGGGGCATACGCGGATTTAGGGGGTGAAACTGCCCTCTGAAGTTGACCATCTTTCGGGGTATTTCTTCAATTGCGCACACAGCGAAAATATTTGGACAATTTTTTTGCAATATAACAGGAAGCTCATGGAAAATGATTAAGATAGAAATTGAAATCATCTCCGTGGGGTGAAATTTCGGGGGTAAACTACCCCCGTGAAAAGTCATTTATTCTAAATATATATATCGCTCCGAATTTCATAAAACCAATTTCATTTGAAAGTGCATAAAAAAATACAACATGTCTTTATTTGCATTCTTTTTTAAATTGCAATTTAAAGGCAATAGAATAGATCAATTTCCTGGAATTGGCCCGCTTTGAAATTTTTTGCAGTATAAAAAAAAGCTCATCGGAAATGATGAAAAAAACCATTGGAATCGTCTCCGGAGGATGAAGTTTGGGGGTCAAACTACCTCTGCGAAGAGTCAGTTTCCCCATGAAAAAACTATTGCCCGAAATTTTATGGAATGATTCCGATTTGAAAAAACATGAAAAAAACGCGCGATGTCTCTTTTGGATCTTTCCTGGAAAAAATTTGGCCAGTGGTGTAGAATAGAATGAATTGAAAATAACTTTCAAATGAGAAGATCTTACGACCCTGATGTTTATATTGTTTTTGAAAAGATTTTAACGAGGACGTATGATAATTACATTGTCGCGATCATTCAAATCCATATCAGAACAGTATGCCAGACTTATAAAAATATCCATCCGAGTGTCATCTGTCTTGATTGAAAATAACATCACGGTGATAAATATGCACAGCTTACAATATCGGTGTTTTATGCTTTAATTCCTCACGCAAATACAATCACAATCAGTTTACAAGTGTCCATCAACGAAAACAGTCTCTCCGTGGGTATCGTGTTTCTGTGACCGTTTCATAGTGAAAGTTAATCCAACCAACATTATCAGACTTTTCATGACAACATTTGAAGTTCTCAATCTTGCTGAAACGCCTGTGAACAATGAGGAACGCGAATTAGCGGACACCTTCCAAAGGATATTAATTCAATCCATGGAGGAATAAAATGGGGCTGAAATGATTGAAGAAACATCTCTAGATTTTCAAGAGCCCTATAAACATATAGAAATGGCGGTCGAGGATAAAGAATTTCAACCACATACCAAAGAATCATCTGAAAGTTTGTGACGAGGCATTCTTCTATTATTATTTTTATTATTTTTATTATTATTTTTATTATTTTCTAGGGAGCCTACAGGCACCAGATGGCAGCCACACGGAAACCATGGGAGAGACTCTGAAACTCCTAATGAACACCCACTTTCCAGGCTTCATACAGGCCCAGGAGAGAGATAAAGAAACAATGCAAAATCAGAGGGATGTCTACGAAACCCATGATTGGGCATTGGCAAATAAAGTAGTGCAGCCCTGGGGGGTCAAGTGGGCCATCAAAACCTTTGAACCCTTCAAGGCACCGGGACCAGACGGGATCTACCCAGCCCTATTACAGGAAGGGATAGAGACTATCACGGGACCCCTAACCAAGATACTCAGAGCTAGTATAGCCCTGAAATATGTCCCTAGTGTGTGGAATGAGACTAGGATAGTATTCATTCCCAAGCCGGGAAAAACCGGTTATATAAAACCAAAAGACTTCCGTCCTATAAGCCTCACATCCTTCATCCTGAAGACCCGGAGAGGCTGGTGGATAGACACATCAAGACCGGGCCCTTGGCTGACAGACCCCTCGTCCCCCTGTCAATATGCATACAGAGAGGGACGATCAACAGATACCGCCTTACATCACCTGGTGGGACTGATTGAGGGACAACTGGCGGTCAAGGGTTTTGCCATAGGCGCCTTTCTGGATATTGAGGGGGCTTTTGATAGCACTTCGAATCCGGCTATAGAAAAAGCCATGGAAGAACGACAGGTGTCCAAGACTATCATTGCTTGGACACAAAACATGCTGAAAAGCAGAAGACTGTCGGCAGGACATGGGAGGGCATGTGTGGAGGGACGTCCGTCTAGGGGCTGTCCGCAGGGGGGAGTTCTCTCGCCCCTGCAATGGAACCCG